TAATTATTCATAAAAAATTATTTAAACTAATTACTAAAAAATTCATAATTTTGAAAAACTGAATTGAGTGATCAATTCTATGAAAAAAATCATGACAAAAACCTATGTAACATTTTTTTTGTCAGAGTCCATTTGTTAGTGTAAAATGAGGATAAACAATCACATCAGAGGAATGAAAGAGATCCGGATCAAATAATAGATGATTGCATTCATATATAAATGACTTACAAAAGATATTGTAAGTTTAGTTACAAGAATTGAATTACTGTTCATCGTTATGTCCTTCTCTACATACTTTGCATACAGATATAGAACATTTTGTACAATACCGCTCAGTTCTTGTCAAACGAGTCGATGCAGACTAATAAGTACTTTTAAACATGGGAAGTTTATGCTTATTTTACAGTGACAGACTGACAAAACAATGTTTCATAGGCTTTTGTCGTGATTTTTCTCGTCGAATTAAATACTGAATTCAGTTTTCCAAAATTATGAATTTTTGAGTAATTTATTTAAATAATTTTGTATAAAATATTGCAAATGGCAAAAGAGAAAAACACGTATATTTTGTTTTTTTATTACGCAGAATGGCGTAGTTACTTTGTTCTTGTCGTATATAGATTTTACGATTTTGCATGAGCCTGAAAGAGTTAAGAAGTCGGAGGAGAGTACCCCGTCTTCAAAGGAAAGGTAAGACAGAACATAACAATTCCTTTACCTTTTATTTGAATAGATGTGTGGGCAATATAATTAAATTATAAATGTATAAAAATTTAAACATTCCAATTCTAATAAAAACATTGATTAATATTTCGAAGCTATTTCTTACATGAAAAAACTACCGAATTATTGTATATCAATGTATATAATTAATTTTTGGTGGTAATTTGATAGGTAACAACTCGCGCGAGGCGAGTTTGTCCCGTACGAAGGCCTTTTTAACAGCCGAGCGGCCTTAGACTCGGGCGGCAGTCAGGCTTTCGGGCACCCCGGCCCGTTCGCGCGTCAATAATGAAATCCCTGTTAATTATAATTCGACACTCGATATCGTTTTTGTAAAATAAATAATTGGACGTTTATAACGTTTTTCGCTTATTTATTAAAAGGAAAAATGTAATAGCGATTTTCTTTAATATAGTGGGGAAGCATATGGATACACTTATAGGCGTTTATAATTATAATATTTATTCTAGACTCTTTCAGAACATAAATAAGTTAAGCAGAATAGATATATATATATATATATATATATATATGTATATATATATATATATATATATATATAAATTCTCAGACGCGTAATTTTCGCCTCGCGATGTCTATTATTTTTTGGTTACATAAAAAGTATTACTCACTTTGTATTAATATTGTAAATATAAATTGGTCCAAAATATTATTCGCTTCGTGATGTGGCCAATCACTTTTTCTTTGAATCTGATCAGATCGACTGGTCCAATATATTTTTTATACAATACTTTAGCAACACGCAAGAAAATAATAATTCCTATGATTTTCGTTGTCCAATATATTCTTTATCCAATAGTGTAGCAACACGCAAGAAAATGATAATTCCTATGATTTTCGATTACACAAAATTATTAAAACAATTGTACTCGACACTTCTAATACTTAATCGCAACTCAAACAATTATATTCTCAAACTCTTATTATGGTTTTAACTTCAGTAGGAAAAATGCAGGCTTCTTAATTGAGCGCTCGCTCCTAACTGACTAATTCTCTATGGTGTTGTTTTCGCCGGTTTATTATATAGCTTTTGTCCCTTGCATACCGTCTCTCTCTCTCGCGCATATGCTTTAGACGTTTATGCTTCTCGTAGCGGCTCGTCTTACCTAGCTAAGCACGCTGACTGCAGCATGCTGTCCCAGCATGCTGACGCAGCGTGAATCAGCCTCTGCCGCTCATTCCCACCGAGTCGCGCACACAAATACTGCTAGTTATACTACACTGCCGTCCATATTTATTTGCCCACCCAGAGAAAAAATTACATAAAATTAAAAGTTTTGTTACTAAGGAAGTATTCACCCTATCGAAGCCTCCGGGAGCTCATTTTGTAGGTTCTGGCGAGTACTTTAAGATACATGTCCTCCCGAATCGATTAATAATTTTTTTCCATGTTTTATCAAGACATAAAGGTAAGTAAAAAATCAAAAATTTTTTGCCCACTTTTAAGTCCGAACATTTTTATGGGAAAAATTTCCACGATAAATCTAAAAGGAGTATTTCGAAGCTTGTTCGAAGAGCTTTCGAATGCGAGGTAGCAGGATGTTTTTTCATAATTAGCTTAAAAGTTACAGACGTTTGAAAGAAAAAAAAACACTTTTTTTCGAGAATTATTATTTTGGTACCATCTACTCGCATGGAAAAACTTTACTCGGAAAAAACGTGTAATTTGTAGCGTAGAATCAACCTAAATTTTCTCAGATTTATTTCGTAAAATTTTTTTTCCTACATTTTGGAGTCGATTATTGTACGACTTTGTGGTATTCCATGAATGAAAAAATCGTTATTTTTATTTTCTACGGTTTTTCAATTCTTTGAAGCCGAAAGCAATCTAGGAATTTTCATAAATACAGCAAGAAAATTATCACAAAAGGTTTTTATCATCTCTAAATTACAAAGTATAAGTAATATAAAATCATATCCAATGAATCAACAACGTTGAATTCTTTCGGAATCATAAAAATAAGATAGACTCTAAGAATTGGTCACTTCACTTCAAGCGTAATTCAGCTTTGTTTATAAACATACGATGACACCGTGATACTCTAGGTAAACTCAGTTAATAAACTGCCAGTTCATTCATACAATCTCTTTAGTCGTCAGCATGGGAAAAACTGCGAATTTATCAATAGAGAGCCGTAGTGAGATCGTGGCTCTTCACAAAATCGGAAAGAGCAATAGGGATATAGCTAAAACGCTCAAGTTATCACGGCGTACGGTTGATTATAACGTAAAAAAGTTTTTAAAATTTGGCACAGTGACCACAAGAAAAAATGCAGGCAGACCGAGGAAAACGACGAAGAAACAAGATGATAATATAGTTCACTTGAGTACTCGAAATCGCCGCCTAACAGCTGTAGAATTATCATCAGAAGTAAGTAAAAGTATTGGTAAATCGATTAGTGTCACTACAGTCAAACGAAGGCTCGCAGAAAAAGGGCTTCATGGAAGAATAGCAGTCAAAAAACCACTTTTAAGAAAAGTAAATGTGGCTAAGAGATTGAAATGGGCCAAAGAGCATAAGGATTGGACTGTAAACGATTGGAGGAAAGTATTGTGGAGTGACGAATCGAAATTTGAAGTTTTTGGTTCAAAAAGAAAAGTTTATGTTAGGAGGCGCAAGAATGAGAGTCATTCTCGGGAGTGCATTGTACCTTCTGTCAAACACGGTGGAGGATCTGTGATGGTTTGGGGATGTTTTGGAGGGTCCAGAGTAGGGGATTGCATCCGAATTAAAGGAATATTAAATAAAGAAAAATACAAAAGTATACTTCAAAGGAACGTAGTGCCTTCTGGAAGACGTCTGCTCGGTCCCAATTTTATTTTCCAACAGGACAATGATCCGAAACATACCTCGAACATTTGTAAAAATTATTTGGAGAGCTTGCAGAACCGGCAAATACTACAAGTCATGACATGGCCTCCTCAATCACCTGATCTGAATCCTATTGAATTATTATGGGAAGAACTCGACCGAGCAGTACGGAAAATTTGCCCTACGTCTAGAGAACATTTATGGACGATCCTGCAAGAAGAATGGAAAAAGATTCCAGCTTCCACCTTGGAAAATTTGATCCTGAGAATGCCAAGAATCTGCAAAGCAGTTATCAAGAACAAAGGTTGGCATTTTGATGAAAAAAACATTTAATTACAGTATTATAATTTTATAGTTCAATCAAATTCAAATAGATAATTTTTTGTGAGATTCTCATACTGTTATGTTATTAGGAGTGACTTGACTGTTTAGATGTTTCTCTTAATATTTATATATACATATATGTATTATTATTATTACTATTATTATTATTACTACCAAGAAACATGAATTTCTAAAGCTATCAAAACGTATGGATTGATAATTTATTTATTTATTATATTTATTTCGATAATGGACTAATAAAAACTGAATATTTGATATTTTCTATACTATTGATTTTTTTATTGTTCCTTGTTAAGAAAATGATCATTTCAATCTATAATAAAGTATTCCAGTTATTACAGAATACCACAAAGTCGTACAATAATCGACTCCAAAATGTAGGAAAAAAAATTTTACGAAATAAATCTGAGAAAATTTAGGTTGATTCTACGCTACAAATTACACGTTTTTTCCGAGTAAAGTTTTTCCATGCGAGTAGATGGTACCAAAATAATAATTCTCGAAAAAAAGTGTTTTTTTTTTCTTTCAAACGTCTGTAACTTTTAAGCTAATTATGAAAAAACATCCTGCTACCTCGCATTCGAAAGCTCTTCGAACAAGCTTCGAAATACTCCTTTTAGATTTATCGTGGAAATTTATCCCATAAAAATGTTCGGACTTAAAAGTGGGCAAAAAATTTTTGATTTTTTACTTACCTTTATGTCTTGATAAAACATGGAAAAAAATTATTAATCGATTCGGGAGGACATGTATCTTAAAGTACTCGCCAGAACCTACAAAATGAGCTCCCGGAGGCTTCGATAGGGTGAATACTTCCTTAGTAACAAAACTTTTAATTTTATGTAATTTTTTCTCTGGGTGGGCAAATAAATATGGACGGCAGTGTATGTCCAAACGGAAATCCCGAGAGCAAAATATTATTCGATAGTATATAATTGTAACATAATAAGACGTCACGTAACATAATTTTTAGGTTGTTTTTATGCGGGATTGGAAATTGTAGTATTTAATAAATAAATCGAAATTCAAATTCTATAAAATAAAATTATTTAATGTAAAATAATATTATGTTGGTGGTATGGAAAAACAGTGAAAAAAA